TCAATAAATCGTGCAGAATTTATACATGTAAAATATCATATCTACAGGTAATTCCATACAAGAAAAATGCGTCTATTTCATTTATCGTTGTAGAAATAATCACATTCTTGTATTCATAGCTTATTTTCAGTGTAGAGAATAGTAAAATATATAATTCAAGACAATCAATAAATCGTGCAGAATTTATACATGTAAAATATCATATCTACAGGTAATGCCATACAAGAAAAATGCGTCTATTCCAAATAAGACTAATCGTTTGAACTTGTGGCTTTGGATGATCATCCAAAGAAAAGAAACATTATACTTGGGATTACATGTACCTGTATAGGTGACATCTTAAAGATTGTTTACGATTAATTGCATTTAGACGATACAAATCGGTTCCACCAGATTAAAGTATACATGTAATAAGGTTGTTTTTTTTCATTTGTCACAACGGACCTCCATACCCGTTACCATGCAGACATAAATCATCTTTTTTCTGTAAATTCGAAAAACATCTTTCATGTATTACAAGCATTAATTTGTGCACATGTATGAAAAAAATTGAGATCCTTTCTTTCTTGAATACCACCGTAATCACTGGTTGCTATGTTAAAAATGTTACTTCCGTTTTAAAAAGTGTGTTCGCATTATCAAACGCATCAGCAGAAAATTTAATAAAATTCAGTACAATTACTGTCTATTTATATGCTCACCATAACTTGCGCTATAAACAGCAAGCATGTTATTTGATGAAATCAAGGATAAATACAGCTGAAAATATAGCAGAATTTCACTAAAAATTCCTCTTTTCAAGACCAGCAAAGTCATGATGTCATATTTCTAGGCGACAGGTCTACAGGGGATGCTTACTCCTCCATGGCACCTGATTTCAGAGGTTCGTGTTGGCCTTTTGGGCTGGGTTACTGTTCTTTATCTTCATATTTCATGACCAGCAAAGTCATGATAAGTCATATTTCTATATATGGAAGCATCCTCATGTTGCGTCCAAATCATGACCCCTAAGGTAGGTTGGGGCAACCATGGGCAAAGAAAATGTTACATAGGGTACTTATGAGAAATCTTTTATCTTTTCAAGAACATCAATGTCATTATTAATAGTATTTACATGTATATGGAAGCGTCATCAGGTAGTGTAGATTCAGTTTTGATCTATTCATGACCCCGGAGGGTTGGTTTTTACCAATATAGGCGATCAAAAGTTTTCTTAGGAATGGATTGGAAAAATTTGAATGTTTTTTTTTCTCAAGAACAGAAAAGACATTACATTGTATTAGTTTCATATAATACTGAAGCATCTTCAGGTAGTGTCGATTCTATATGTTCAATATATATGAAAAATCTTTTATAGTCTTCTTCATCATAAAAGCAAAACCATGTTTGGTCATACATTTATGGAAGCATCCTCATATTCAAGTTTGTTCAAATCATGACACCTGAGGGTAGGGTCGGGCCATAATACATTATCCAAATTTTAGTTGGGGGTGTCGGTTCCAGCTTTTTGAAGTACCATTTCTTTTTCATACACTACTTCAAAACTACATTCAAATGCAGTGTAATTAAATAACCATTCATTTTGAGCAATGTTATGTAAATAAAGTCCATTTAAATTATCTCTACGGAAATAATAGACGACCTAAAAATTCTTTCTCTATTTTCTTTCACATCTGAAGCAGATTTCATATTTATGCCCTTTACGTTTTTTCTACCTCGAAATCCTTGATAAAATAAAGAAAAAAACTTCTAAAACCATTAGCAAAAAATGTGCCACATTGTTAACTGGATAAAGAGGCAGCGATGTGAGAAAGGGGTGTTACATGCACAGATCTACAGGGTGTTGGGGGTCCAGATCCATCTGGAATTTGCTGAATTAATAAATGTATTACTTAAGCAAATAATTAATAAAATATGACTTTGGACCCCCTCCCACTTTTAGAAAACCTAGACCCACCATCACCATCCCGAAATACATAAATGTTAGTTCTTTCCACATTTAGAAAATTTTTTTGCTTGTCAAGACATTTTTGGGATGGAATTTTTTTTGAATGGGATGGATCCCCAACCCCTTGAAAAAAAATGATTTGACTGTATTACCGAGGTCGCATAATCTATTGAAAAAATTACAGGAATTTTTAATTAGGACACTGTTGTGAAAATCTAGGCCTGTAGGGTTGATTGTTTTGGCAAGGAGACTTAGGATTGGCTCCGAGGCCAAACCTACAATTCATAAAAGGATAAGACCAACTACAATGCTTGCAAACGGGGTAAATATTTGCAATACTTTTCCCCCTAAAGACACTAAAAGTTGTATGAAAAGCATTTAAAGTGTTTTTGTTGGTTGACAATTATTTTGAATCGAGCAACGGGCTGCATATCAAAAAGCAACGATTCTTCATCCACCGAACCCCAATTCAAAGAAAACTCGATAAAAAAAAATTTGGGCGAAATTGAAAATCATATCCCTTCCAATCTTAACTTTTATATGACATTTCTACTACTTTTCTGGTGGGGGCAATGTTAGGAAGCACATCAAAAGCATCTGTTGGGGGTTTAAAGCAATATTCAGATATTCAGGTTACAATTGCAAATGCTGACTTAGATACTGCCACTGTAGATCTGGAAGTTACTGGCTGCATTGATCAACCAACATTTTGGGTTGGTATGATGGATGACATGTTCGCTCTTGTAGTTTTGTACGGGCTTCACGCCCTAAAGACCTCGTCCCGATCGCTTGTAACATGGCGCATAAAGCGATGAAATCTTTTTTTTTAAATTTATTGATATTTATTGCTATTCATTTATTTTGAAATTTGCATTTGTTTCAAAAAAGTTTTTATCAAAGATGGCGGATAGTGAATGCCAAAATTTAACAGGTAATAAACTTACTTATACTGCTTGACAGAAAATCACTGAACGGCAAATGACTTATAGAATGAAATAAATCTTTACAGACTTTTTTAACTTGATCAGATGCTCTCCTCAATTTGCCGATGTACAGGAAATATAATGCACTTAATATTTTTTTTGATGCTCCATTAAATTTGAGTTATCCTTCTTGACCCAAACCGCATAAAATAACCAGGTCACCCTATTAATCATCCAAAGGAAAACATTGTATCAAAATTTAATTGTAGATGCTTTCTTGCACCACAGCTTGCATCCGGCAAGTAAAAAATATTTTTTTTCAAAATCTTTAAAAAAATTAAATTAAATTAAAAAAAATCGTATTCTTGTATATATTAAATATTATTTTTTTTAACACGGCGGAAGCAAACCCTTGTGATGGCACGTCAAGCGCTGATCTAGAGGGGTGTTCGGGGGGTCCGGACCCTCCCCCTCCCCTGGAATTTGCAGAGTTATTTAAAGTATATACTGAAGCAAATAAAAAATGACTTTGGACCCCCCCCCCCCTAAGAAAATGTGGACCCCACCATCGCCACCACAAAATAGGTGTTTTTCACGTTTGAAAATGGTATTTACGTTTTTTTCTCTAGTAATTGAAGAATAAACTTAAGTACATTTGGTTATCTACAGGAATTAAAACTTTGAAAATACAGTTAAACTTCAGAATCTCGAACACCGAAACCTTGATGATCAATGATAAGTATACATGTTTTACCATTGATATCTTGAATCCTTAAATGAAATTCATTGGGTTCGAAATTTTTTTTACTGTAGTGGACTCCCCCAAGGAAAAAAAATCCTGGATCCGCGCCTGCACGTTATACTGTATCTAAAACATAAAGCGAGTTTCTTTTCCTGTTGGAAATAAATATATTTTCCCTATTTATTAACCACCTGAGTGAGTTTGAAAGAGGTGATATGACATGTTTATCTTCGTTTCTCCAATTCTTCCTAGTCCGTTTTGTTTTTCTTGAAATGTGTGACTCCTGATATATCTAACTCGGCCTATTAAATCAACCATAAGATAAGTTGCGTTTAAAACTCCCGAACAAAGCTGTCATGTTAGAACACTACATGTATCTGTTAGGAAAAAGACTAGCACGACTTAATAATTTTATTTGCAACACAACAGCGGAAATAGGTAAGATCGTGTATGTGTTTCCTTTTTCCCTTGAAATAGGTATTCTTGATATTATCTATATAAAAAGTCGGCAAGGACTATACAGATCAAGAGTACATTATCTTAATGATAATGACAATCTAATTCTTTACAAGTACCTATAAATTTGATTTATCCTTTACATGTATGTAAACAACAGTTCATTTCATATGGTGTCCCGAAAGGGTCATTTGCAAAAGTGTAAAAATGCGTCAGAACAATGCGCTAGCAAAAAATGACAACGCACGTGTACGTTGTCACTTTGTGCTATTGCGTGGGCTTTTTGTTTCGAATTACGCGCTGTTACACTTTTAAATGCGACAACGCGTTAGCGCTGAGCAGCAACGCGCCGTTATGAACAACCCGCTATTAATTTGTGACTTCGCCCTTGCGCATTGTTCCTAACACTTTCTTTCACTTATGTAAATGACCTTATCAGAACACAATAATTTCAAGACAGTATATATGTTAACTATTACAGGGTGCCTTTGGCCAATGTCATAAAAAAGTTATGTTGTTCCATATGTATACACTTAAGTACTTCTTAAGAAATACTTTTAAATAAATGGAATTTAATTAAATGCTTATTCGTACATGTAGCTATCTCACGTGTTATTAATGTCACTGAAAATACCCCTAAACTACTCCGGGTGTACTCACCAACCAAGTATTATATATGTTTGATACATTAATTTAGTATGAATTACATGTATAGCACAGTCCATTTTTTTTTTATTTGTAAATATTGTATTACCCAATTACTTTAGTTTGTCGAAATTTATCGCCTTTCGAAAATCTACGAAGTTAACATGCATTCAGTATGCTTACATTGTTTAGTTTTCACTTTAGATTTAGTTTTTAGATCATGTGTAATGAGGAAAAGAGGTTTAAGTTTAGAATATGAAAAAAAGATGTTCTTATATTTTAGGAAAATACTGCTTTTGCCTCTACGTACAATGAACATCAAGGATCATGGCAAATTGTGACGACTTTTCTGAAAAGGTAAGCGACCCAAGTAAATACGTGTATATGACGTAAAAAATAATGGGAAAATTCTTAAGTAATTGAAGAAAAAACTTAGATACATTTGGTTATCTACAGGAATTAAAACTTTGAAAATACAGTTAAACTTCAGAATCTGGAACACCGAAACTTCGAATACCAATGATAAGTATGTGGAAGTGTCAGATACATGGCTTCCTACTAGCTTGGGCTAGTGGGTTAACCCTTTAGCTCAATCGGTAGAGCTCTGGACTGGCAAGCCAGAGGCCCCGGATTCAATCCCCAGCAGAGGCATATAAATGTCTCTGTTACATTTGGCGCCCACGTTGTGACCAGGGTGTTCTCTGGCGGGTGAAAGTGATTGACCACAGAACTTCGCCCCACAGGCGTCGGTACTCCAAAAAGAGATGAGGACATCTCATTCTCTGGAGGGGGGACAATGGGGTAGTGTCAGATACATGGCTTCCTACTGGCTTGGGCTAGTGGGTTAACCCTTTAGCTCAATCGGTAGAGCTCTGGACTGGCAAGCCAGAGGCCCCGAATTCAATCCCCAGCAGAGGCATTTAAATGTCCCTGTTACAAGTATACATGTTTTACCATTGATATCTTGAATCCTTAAATATATCTTGAAGTTTTTCCTCTTTTTCGAGATAACGAGGTTCGACTGTACTTGTACATGTATATACTTTTAAATTTTGTTTTTTATCAGCGATGATGCTAAAGTGGACTTATGAAACGATATGCTGGCATGTATTTATTTTAAGAAATGAATTTGATATTAAAGGGTAAAAACCTTCTCGGTAGTTCAGTCTGTAGAAGGCTCCTTTCGGTAGCAACTGTTACTTTGCCAAGCGCTCGGTACTTTGAAGTGAAAAGTTGCAGGTCCTTTGGATGGCACCTTAAAAAAGAGGCCGCGTTTCACTGCAGGTGTTAATACGATATAGATCCCTTACTGCTCAATGGGTCTGAGTGCTGAGTAAAAGTCAAAATTTGATACCCTTCACCGGTATATGGTGAAATCTATTTTGAATGAAAGATTCCCGAATGGGACATAAACCAACATACAAACAATCAATCAATCAATCAATCAATCAAACTGTAAAGAGAGCGTAAAGCATGAATATATGCTTGTTGGCTAAAAATTCTATTCCTTATTAGTGACGAAAATTTTAGATGTTTAAATGTGCATTAAGATTTAAGTACCACTAAGAAATTTCTGTATACCATATACCATTCCCCTTATTCTAAAACAGCAACTTTCAATAATGCTTAGTTTGTTATCAATCGCAATATCGGAATTTTTTTTTTTCTATTTTTTTTTTTACAGATTTGTGACCGATACAGACTACAGGTAAATTTAGTTTCACAATATAAAATTCCACTTCCTTAAACAGCGCATTATTTAAAAGAATATATATCCAGTAAAAGACGCACCTTTTAATAGTCTGGGCGATTTTTAAATTTGATAGTCGAGAAAGATAACTGAGCTATAAAAATACTTATTTCAATTAGGGATTATCGTACTTAACTTCAAAAAATTGTCCAGACATGTTTCAGGATGGCTTTTTTTTCAGACGACAAAAATTCCACTAACAGGAATGAAAATCCAATTATTGTTTATCGTGGAGCTATGGTTGTAACTTCATTATAATATATTAGAACAATTTTCATGTTAGTTGTCCCTGCGTATTTTTCTGAAAATACCTTGTTTTTTCCCTTAACTGTGACGATTATTGCGTTTGTTAATTATTAAAATATAACCACTGTATTTACGTGAAGTTGTGGATAATGAAAAATAAAAATAGAAAAGAGATGTTAAATCAAAGTAAACAATTGGAGATTTTGCTAGAATCTTATGAATTATTCCAGTTAAAATTTTTATCCATATTGTTTTTACTTTAGAAATCTGAAGGATGGGAACTCTAAAACTATTTAAAACCTAAGTTTACCTACATTTTTATTATTCTACTAATATAAAATTTGAGGTCAATGATCATATTTTTTTTAGACATGTTATCTAAAATGCATTTTTGATCATTCACACCCTGCGTTATGCTCCTTGTCATGAATGGGCAACAACAACAACAACAACAACAACAACAACAACAACAAAAAAATAGGCAATTAAGTGTGCAAAAGATACTGAACGATTTGCATGAAAAACATTCGACATCATGATACATGTATATCGGTTTTGCTGATAAGTCATTGTGTCGAGCACGAAATTAACGAAATGTTGACTTTTTAAAAGCAAGACCGTTGATATTCCTGTTTCATCAACTTGTTTGTCAATGCTTGCCTGTTTCTAAAAATTAATCGTACGTAGAGCATGGTCTTGCGTATCGAATTAACTAGGAGGCATAAATTTAATATGCAGGTGGCAAAGTTATCTTGCTACATAAAAAAAGAAGTTGATGATAGACAAGATTATGTAAACACGTTTATCATAAACATTTGTTGTTAAATTACATGTATCAATGCAATGACTTACGGTTAAAAAAAAAGTCTGATTATGAGTAAAAGTAACTATTGCTAATTGATAATCTGTCGTCAATAGTTCTAAATGTCCAGTTGAAGGTCACAGCAAATGTATTCTCCTCATGTAAGAAAAAAAATACATTTGATTGAAAAAAAAATAACCAAAAGATAAAATGTGATTAGCAACTGTGTGAATACATATAAAGTGAGCACATACTGTAAAATATAGACTTTGGAAATGTTTTCATTTCAGAAATATGGTGATGTTTTGAAATTAAAACACCCATTGGTAAGTAGGTCTATTTTCTTTTTCAAAAAGAACATTCAATCTTGAAATCATTGGTGTGATAATCTTTTTTTCATTTTTATTTCTCAAAGGAACAGTGCTAAAAAGAAATGAAAAGATGATATAAAGTTTATATACAGTGAAATCTTTTCACATTATCAAATAACAATTTGTTATAAAAAAGTCACTTTCTTTTAAAGCAAGGTACAAAGGGGAAATGTCATGAAGATCTTCATCTGCTGTGCTGGACAAACAAATCAGTTTTATCAAAATATGAAGATGTATTTAACGATCTTGGCCAAAAATTAGATGATGAACTTTTCAGAAGACGTTATCAAAACACCACTGTTGATATTTATGTCAAGGAAGCTCATATTGAAATAATGTATGGAGACATCAAGAACAATATATTCCTCCGCAATCGATTTGTTGCAAAATTAGATGCTTACAAAAAGTTCAGTTTAACCCTTCAACCGGTAGGTAGACCTTTCAACTAAGAAAAATATCCTCTTAAAATGAAGGAGGGATTCTTGTCGGGCTTCTGAAAAAAATATTTTCTTTTTATGACTTATTTACCTTGGGTGAAAATAAGGAAATTTTCAATATTCAAAGCATATTAAAAAATCAAATTTTTCCATAAAATTTAGGAAAAATAGAGGAAATTCGGACTAGCCAATATCTATCTTAGTTTAGTAATTTATGTCAATTTGGTAGTATGATCTGGAAGACACTTTATGGTAACATCATTTTATTAAAAAAAAAAAAAAAAAAAAAAAAAAAAAAAAAAGGAAAAAAAATATATTTATTCGTTTGAAATTGAAGATGGCATCACATGATAGGCAACAGTTTTTTTTTTATTCTTGAGGGCAATGAAAAGATAATGACCTTGAACTGACCTTGTTTCTAAAATTAAACGGTCGAATTGTATCTAATCGATACCATCACTTAATGATATTGTCTCCTGGAATATGTGACAATTTCATCGTTTTTTAAATACGTGAAATGAACAAATAATCGCTCCTTAAAGATTTATAACAAGTGCAACCAAAACTTTAAGTGTAAATTAAGTTTCAAAGTTATCGACAATGATGTGTAAGGAAACTGCATTAAATAGTGCCAATTCCAATCAAATTATTTTCGAGCAGAAAAGAAAAAAAAGATCCTATTATACGAGCCAGATAATTTGAAAACGTTCAAAACAAGAAAGTGAAATTAGAAGAGGAACATTCTAAAGAAAAAAAAAAACTTTTTGATAAACAAGAGCATTCATTTACAAAGTCGATATTTGGAGGTTTCAGCAATTTTTTTTCTTTCTTAGTAGAAGACTGCTTTTAATAAAATCATTCATTATCTTTATTTGAAATTGGGTCTAGGACAATGTATTGACGAGTTTTCTGGAATCAGGATGGGCTTATTTGAAAGAAAATTAGTATGAAAATATTTTTAGGTTTATTTTACAAAATTTTATTATTTTATTTTTAATAATTTAATTTTAAACCTTATTCAAGTAAACTTAAAATAATTTTTTTAACAATGGAGTCATGTATTTGTATAGAATTTTTCCTTTTTAGCTCACCTGAGCCGAAGACTCAAGTTAGCTTTTCTGATCACATTTTGTCCGGCGTCCGTCTGTCCGTCTAGCTGTCCGTCTGTCCGTCCGTCTGTCTGTAAACTTTTCACATTTTTGTCTTCTTCTCAAGAACCACTGGGCCAAATGCAACCAAACTTGCCACAAAGCATCCTTGGGTGAAGGGGATTCAAGTTTGTTCAAATGAAGGGCCACGCCCTCTTTCAAGGGGAGATAATTAGGAATTAGTGAAAAAATAATGACATCATTTAAAAATCTTCTTCTCAAGAACCACTGGGCCAGGAAAGATGAAACTTATGTGGAAACATCCTCAGGTAGTGTAGATTCAAGTGTGTTCAAATCATGACCCCCGGGGGTAGGATGGGGCAACAATGGGGGATCAAAGTTTTACATAGAAATATATAGGAAAATATGTCTAAAAATCTTCTTCTTAAAAACAGGAATGCCATAATTGGTCATATTTATATGGAAGCATCCTCAGGTAGTGAAGATTCAAATTTGTTCAAATCATAACCCCCGGGGTTAGGGTGGGGCCACAATGGGGGATCAAAGTTTTACATAGAAATATATAGGAAAATATCTTTAAAAATCTTCTTCTTTAAGCCATGATTGGTCATATTTATATGGAAGCATCCTCAGATAGTGAAGATTCAAGTTTGTTCAAATCATGACCCCGGGGGTAGGGTTAGGCCACAATGGGGGATCAAAGTTTACAGAGGAATATATAGCAAAAAATCTTTTTCTCAAGAACAGAAAAGTCATGATTAGTCAAATTGATATGGAGGCATCCTTGGGTAGAATAGAATGAAATTTGTTCAAATGAGGGCCTCCGGGGGTAGGGTGGGGCCACAATGGGGAATCAAATTTTTACAAATGAAGATATGGGAAAAAATCTTCTGCTCAAGAACAGCAAAGCCATTTGTTATATTGATATTAAAGCATCATCAGGTAGTTTAAAATTCAACACCCCCCTCCCTGTAAACTTTTCAATACTGAACTGATTTTTGCTTTTTTCCCTGGCCAATGTGCTCAGGTGAGCAATGTGGCCCATGGGTCTCTTGTTTCCCCATTCAAACTTACCTATTTTAACCTACCTTTTGACGTAATTGTAACCAAACAAACAAATTCAAAGAATTGTGTTCCACCGCTTTCGGTGTTTTAGTAGATTTGATGCCATTATTTATGGCATATTGTGTCAAATATGAACGCTCAATCATATGTCATTCAAAAGTAACCACTAAAGTTTTTTTTTTTTTTGAAAATAAGGTCAAACATGAAGGTCAAAGTCAAGGGCTTAAAAATTATAGCATGTTCAGAAACATCTTTTACAGGTAATGCACATGTCAAATAGGAAAACTGACATATAGAATAACTATCAGCTACATTTCATTTCCGAAAGAAAAATTCCACTTTATAATTCCGGAATATTTTAGGTTAGTTTTAGGTTTAAATTCCCACATTTAAAGTTTTCATCTCCGACATTAATCATAAAGTACTTTTCCAGCAATGAAAACAATTGAAGACTTTGCTTTTAAAATATTTTTAAAGCATAAATTAATGATATCCAACATTAAATTTCGCGCAGTCACGAACATATAATCCTAGAAAAAAATTGGATTTTATGAACTAGAACATGAGTGCCCATTTAACTCATGCAAAACTTTTAATTATACATATTGTTACATTTGTATACTGTGCATTGTAATTTTTTTTATTGGGAAAATATGGTTTGAAATAAGCGTAATATTTATATCTTGTTAAAAATTTAATCCCATATGCATGGACATTAAATCGCGGAAAATATACCCTGAAAAATCCAGACATATAAAAAAGGAGCTGTCGGAAATGAAAAAAAAAAAATTCGGATATGCAATGCAAAATTTCGGAAATGAAATGCAGCGTAAATATCATAGAGCGATACTTTATGCGTCTTTGTTGTAGAAATTTGACCCGATACAGGAAATTGTGGAGGAAGCCGGACTAAGGTTGATTTGTCTCTACATGTGTGTCATCTGCATTCCATTAATTTTAATTGGTAGTAATCGCAGATGAAATTGCCGTCGATTTTTTTTTTTTTTTTTGGGGGGGGGGGGGATTCTAAGGGAACATTAGATCAACATCAGAAAGAGAGGTTTAATAGTAAAGACAGAAGAGAGGAAAGGACTTGCATCAAAATTGTTTGGATACTATAATTCATTTCTATCCTCTTAAACATTATTTACATGCATTAGCTTATGTAAATGATCACCATGTCAATATTCCTGTCCTTGTCAGTTGTACGGTACTGCACACTAAAAAAAGCTGACCTATGGATTCTTTTGGTTGTACAAGTTGGTTTGAATAAAGTGAAATTTTTGTCATTTATATGTTTGAATTAAATAAAAGATTGAAGGACATTTCTGGCATCAGTTTTTTTTTTTTTTTTTTTTTTTTTTTTTTTTTTTTTTTTTTTATACGTTTCGAGAAGTATTCGCAGTACGTCTGTCCATTTCGACATGGTTCCTTAGGTCGAATCACAGTTAAAAAGACCAAATTGATGATGCCATATGTATGTGAATAAAATAACCCTATTGAATATGGTTTTTATTGAATTGTATTCTTACCAATCGTTACTATAAGGTTCCAAGGAACCCATAGGTCGCCTGCTATAGCATCATCAAAGATATAAATAAAAGTAAAGGGAGGTCACCCATTTTTTTTTTTTAGATATTACACTAGCATTATAGTTAAAGCAAAAAAAAAAAAAAAAAAAAAAAAAAAAAAAAAAAAATTACGGATAGTAAGACAGCAATAAACAATACGTATCCTAAAGATTACAATCAATTTAAAATGATCAATCTAATTGGATTTATTAAAAAATGCATGCAATCATCCATTCATACTAGTTTTTTCAACAATTCCCGAGATTCACTTGCCCACATTTGTATACCAATCACAAACTATGGAACAAATGGAACATCACACAGGCTTTTTATACCCCCGCTCCGAAGGAGAGGGGGGTATACTGTTTGACCATTGTGTGTCTGTTTGTCTGTCTGAGTGTCTGTCTGTCTGTTCGTAACAAATTTTCCGTCACAGTATTCTCAGCAACTACTCATCGCAGATGCGTGAAATTTCAGCACACTCTTTGTTTAGGCATGCTATATGGTGGAATTCATTTATGTACGCATCCGTTGTCAACTTCCTGTTTATCCGTGCGTCTGTCCGTACCATACATAACAAATTTTCGTCGCAGTTTTCTCAGCAACTACTAATTGGAGATGCTTGAAATTTTAGCACACTCATTGTTTAGGCATGCCATATGGTGGGATTCATATTTGTACGAATCCGATGTCAACTTCCTGTTCATCCGTGCGTCTGTCCGTACCATACATAACAAATTTTGGTCACAGTTTTCTCAGCAACTACTGATTGCAGATGCTTGGAATTTTAGCACGCTCTTTGTTTAGGCATGCCATATGGTGGGAATATTTTTGTACGAATCCGATGTCAACTTCCTGTTTATCCGTGCGTCTGTCCGTACCATACATAACAAATTTTGGTCACAGTTTTCTCAGCAACTACTAATTGCAGATGCTTGAAATTTTAGCACACTCTTTGTTTAGGCATGCCATATGATGGGATTAATTTTTGTACGAATCTGATGTCAACTTATTGTTCATCCTTGTGTCTGTCCATAACTGAACTTGTGTACATTCACATCAGAATGTTCCCCTATCCCAAGTGTATACGTTCCTGCTCCAGTTCTTTCAAGTACTGGGAAATGTAGTCGTTATCATTTCCTACACCATGTATACACTGAATTGCCAATGCCAGTCTACCATGCTCATCCTCAATATCCAATATCATTGGTACAGCTCTAGGATAATGACGTCATCACTTTTGCGGTTACGTATTACACTTGGGATATGCATGTTTATTCACATCAAAGCGGGGGTTTTATTAGTGAGCATTGGCTCATAAACTTCTTGGCCGTCAAGTTGAGAACAACATCGGCCTTTTTCTGTTAAGTCGATAACATTTTATCAAAAAAAAGTTTAATGATTCACGACCAAAAGTCGTTATTCTTTAAAGACAATAATGGAACAATCGGAAAATCACATGGCATTTCCCGTCAAGTCAAGAATCTCACTCGGACTTTTACAATTTTGCAATTTTCTCAAACTAGTCAGTGACGTCATTTCAGTCAGTACAGCGAGATCGAACTTTCGTTCAATATTCAGTTAAGTATTACAAACCTCATTAGAACACGTAATTTGCTGTTCTGATATTTGTTGGAATGTGTCAGATATTAATATTTTTTTTCGTAATTCCAATAGATGTAGCATATTTCACTTTTTCATAATTTCATTTGGTATTCTTATATCGACGTTTCATAAATTGTCGCACACACAAGATCAGAAATTGTCAGTGTTGTTCTTGAAAAAAAAAAAGTCGTCCTGGACCACAGATAATAATTTACCTCTGATAAATCCAAAATACGAGAGGAAAAAAAAAAAAAAAAAAAAAAAAAAAAAAAAAAAAAAAACAGAAAGTGTTGAGAGATGAGAAAACATTGTTTTGAAACCTAGTTATCTTGATGTCAATATTCCTGACGATACATGCTATAAAACTGAAGATAAAACTGCACGTTCTTGATTTGCAAGATTGTTGAGTTCAAACATGATTGAAACTGAGGATTTTGAAAAGAATTGGCTGTTCACATAATGTGTATGTTTGACCGATTCCTCGTGTCATTCGTTTGTCTGTTGAGTATACTTTTGAAAACATTGAAGGAAAATTAAAAATGAGAGCATTTGCATATTCAGTGACTAAGGAAAGATGAACACCGTTTTATTTTGCAGTATTGTTCATAGATACACCCATTCATAAACAAAGGGACATAGAATGTTAAAACAATTCTGATGAAGGTGTCTATTTTCACATGTTAATAAATGAAATGATCATGTGTATAAAGAAATGGAGATAAAATACTAAATTAAAGGTTTTTCAGTTGAAAATACTCATCAAGTCTTCAATTTCTTTACGACGCTAGAGTTTCCGGCGAAATCATTTTTCCAGTCATTTAAATATTGATTTTAAATATTTTTTGTGAAGAGTTGGGGGTGTTCAACCTTGCATCAATTCGCTTACCTTTGATAAATATTTAATACAGAGTAAATTTTATTTTGCCATACACGTTTTGTAAACATACAAAAAATGTGTTGTACATTTCTCCTTTTTGTACATGATAATATACATTCTGTGAATTCCATGCCGTTTCTCCTTGTTGTAAAATGTTTATTTATTATCCCCTTAAGTTTTTCTTACCCTCAAAATAGAATACAAAGGATGTGATCATTGTTTTCGAAAACCTATGTATAAGCTGATGTAGATATGGGGATCCTTAATGTAGCTGTGTATCACAATAGTCAAAATTGTAAATTAAAGCGTCAACATATCAACATAGTTAACCAAAATTTACAACAGTAAACTATAGTTACTACAGTAAACTATAGTTTACTAAACTATAGTTCACAATAGTATTTTTGTTAGGGTTGTATGAAGTAAAGGTCATGCCGACATCAGACTAAAATCTCTCTTGATTTCTTGCAGACGTAATCAAACTTATAATTACATGGATAATCATGCAACTGCCAATTTTCTTCCTTGTAAGCTACTGCGCAGCTTTCATTTCTTCCTCCGTTTGGTTGACCTGTGACCCAATCGCTATTATTCACCCTGGACCCCGTGGATTCATAGACATAGACTCCTTCTTGACGGTTATCTGTCGCGCCAATCCACATCCTGTTTGTACCTTAAAGCCAGATAAGAATGGGATTTTTTTTCTTTTTTCTTTTTTGTTTAGGTTAATTTTTCTCTAAATATGTTGTTTCTTCGCATTTTTACGGAGGTGCATTTTTTTTTCTTTCTTCATAAGTTTGAAATATCATGGTGCAAAGAAAACAAGTAATTCTATTAAGATTTTTGAAAGAGAAATATTTACCATTTGTTTTTGTTAGTGACTTTTCCCTTGGGCTTTGATCTTCAAGAATATAAGCGCCGGCTCTGTTACAAATATCCTATAAAGCAATGAGCACTGTGTAAGCATTTACAAACAGTTCTGAATCATGTGTAGAATTACATTGAACATTTCGTTTGAATTATTAGCAATGCAGCTTTGAAAAGGTACTGAATTTAGTTTCTTAATTTTACTCACTTTTGCTGCATCAAATGTGGCACTTGCATTAGAAAATAAGTAACAGTTGTTTTCTAAAGGAATCCACACATCTGGACATGCTGTTTAATATATATGAAAGAGGTAACTGTTATCTTTTGATCTCCCCATCTCATTTTATTTCTAAGATATAATAATGATATGAACAGAACTAGAAACCCTCTTTATGTGCATTATCAGAATGATAAGGAAAAATTCATCTTAACTGGACTTCTAGTAAACAATTGCAAAGTGTTCTCAATAACTAATTGCTTTTTAAACTCGTATTTATTATAAACCTTAGCATCTTCAAAATCCATTCCTCGGCTGACATTGAAAAGATTTTTTTTCCAGAAATTTCACAAATTTAGAAAAACCAAGAAAAAGTAGGTTTTAAACCTAAATTATTCTATGTAATAAATTCCTTCATCAGTGTGCAATGAATCGGCCAATGACTTATAAAACAAATGATGATTCTATCTCCCACACAGCAGTAGCTATATATACATGGTTATATATCTTTTATTTTTACCGGAAATTATGACAACTTGCATTCCTGGTGCAAACTGTATCCAATAAAAACATGAATACATTTTGCATTTTCTTTGAACATCTTTACCCTGAAATCCACCAAATAAAAACATTTATATTTAAATATTTAATAAAACTTTTTGAAATATTTTAGAGGCGTTTTTCTTTCATTAAGAAATTCCTTTCGAACATTTAGGATTTTTAAAGTTTATATTTGTTGTGCATAAAAATTACACACGTTTCTTGATTTATTTCCTCACAATCATTATCAATAGCCTTAGCATGAAATTGAGACCATCCGAAATTTTGTTAATTTGTACCGCCATTTTAGGTGGCAAAAGGATTCGACCATCATTTCGTAAGTAGATATTGGATCCATTTTTCATCAGGTAAACTTTTTAAAAGAAATGCAAAACGTTGAAATTTAATTACCAAAATTTGATTCTAATTTAATTTACCATAAGGGGGTCCTTTTGTTCGCTTCTTATACCTGAATTTGAATCTGAACTTATATAGTGAACTTGGTTGATGCAAAAGTTCAGTCAATACAATGTTTTATTACTAAAATATTAGCATGGTTAATATACTTACAACATCAGAGAAAGGAAAATTAGACTTAAGGACGCAACAACACTTTATGTAGAATGTATTAATATACAAGTCATGCACGAACACGATGGACCGACTTAAAATATTATCCATTATGGCATAAATATGCATATCTGTTTATAATATCCATTCCAGGCCAAGAATTTTCATTAAGAAAAATCATGGGGAATGGTTTGCTTTAACAAAAAATGTTATAAGCAACACAGAGTTCTATCAGCATAAAAATCAAAGTAAAAGGAGAAACGTGCAGTTTTTTAAAACCCAGTAAGCCTACAGGTTTCTTCTTTGATGGGATCCCAAGCACTGTCTGTTCGTTCATTTCATTTGTTTAGATCGGCGTGGTACAGATTTGCTGTCAAGAAATTAATTTCTTGTTTTTTTTTTTTATTTTAATATGAACTCCCCCAAAACCATACTAAATACTGTTATGTTTCATCAATATAAATGCATAAAACTTTTTAACCTGACTTCGATGGGGGGTGGGGGGGGGGGGGTACTGAGATCACAATCATGCGTCAGAGTTTCTGATTTATAAAAAAAAAATCTTTAATACCAAATATCAAACTTGCTAGCAATTAACAATTGTCCGATAATTTTAACGTATACATACATGTATGCTGGTACATGTATGTATCATTTTCTCACAGAGAAGAAAAACAACGTTTTTTCAATAACTAAAACGTTATCTCACCGGTACAATTTTGGAGTTTTTCTTGTAGATTGTTTATTTGCTGCTGTAACGACTGCCCTTGGTCTATAAATAGAAACAAAGACATGTTGTATTGCCGGTTAGGCTTTTTCGAGAAGTTAGTGTATACATTACATTTCAGTTGAAGCACATTATAATGATTTTCATCAATGCAATATTACTAGACATTTAAAAGTGAACATCTTTTTTTAAATACAAGTTGAGTGAATGCTAGGCAGGTTGTTGATCCTTTCTTTTAGATTGATCACCTCTAACAGCAGAAATTCCTCTCGTTTTGTGAGAATAGAAAAAAAAATGGACATCCGCCCAGTACATTAGAAAAAAAGATATGGAAGCAAGACAATCTCTCGCACATTGATGCAGTTTAGATAGGATTTGGTATAATTTTGGTCGAATAACAATCACAGGTGATTTTCTGGACACATTAAAGGAACGTTTTTTAAATTTGTGCAATATGTGCGTTAAAATAATAATATAATTATTTTACAATATTTTGTTATCAGAATTTATATCTGTTGCTCATTCATTCAATACTGTTTAAAGTAGTGAAAATATGAATAACCTACATTTTGCAATGTTCGCGGAATTTATAATAAAAGAAACTGAAAATTAAAAAAAAAGTACCAACCGATTAAGTTTTGTAAGATTTTTCTGGCCACATTAAGGCTAAGTTTCGAAATTATGCAGGATGTTCGTTTAAAACAATAATAATAAGCTTTACATTTTTTTTTTTTTCAAAACTTTTATTTGTTGCTCAATCATTCAACACTATTTTTGTTCATGTGAAAATTTTAATAGCCTTCGTTTGTAATGCTCGTTGAATTTATAAGAAAATAAAATGGAAACATGCAAATAAAACATGGTACCAACCGATTAAGTTCCCATGCCTCTCCTGTAAGAGGGTTAACTCCAACTGTAGGGCTTGATTTCGTTCTATTATAAAATAGAAATTCATTTCATCTGATGAAATTTCCAATGCAAACGTGCATCGGAAATACGCTTCATATATATATTTTTTTTAATAAATAAACGTATATTTAAAACACAAGTATTTTTCATTAAATTTTATCATGTAAAGTTTTTAATGCTAAATTTGAAAGCCAAAACAAACATTAAAAAAAAAGAGAAAAAAAATAAATAAAATAAATAAATTTAAAAGAAAAACCCTTCTCTCTGTATAAAACTAATTTTATTTGGCCTGTGTTATGTCCTTATTATCTCAACGAAATATCGATTAATTTGTCTCAAGCACATGATATTATTTTTTTTTCAAAGTAAGCTTACAAAGAATGGTCTTTTTTGTCTTCAGCAACACCTCAAGTAAGATTGTTTAATTAATTTTCATTTCTTAGTTATAAACCCAGGAAAACCTCGTGAAGAAAGTTTTATATGAGTAGCTTAAGGTCAAGATCTAGTAAATGAGTTGAGACTGTCCTTTTCGTGCTAGATCCATTATGACGTCATAATTTATTTAAACTTACTTTTTTCTTGTACTTTACGGCAATAACAGAATATTATGTAGAAAATGACGTATTTTCAGGAATTCAATAATAAAACATTTCAAAAGTAACCCCGATACCTACATGTATAATCAATTTAATATCATTTTTAAAAAGAAGTCAAGAAGATATGAAAAACCGCTATCTGAGACACTGTTGGCAATATTGATACATTTCCTTTGTCTGAGATGGAGAAAACTCCCATGTTTTTACCCCAATTTTCTTCATTTTTTCTTTTAAAAGGAGAGTTTAAAATATGTTTTTTTTCGATGAGTTCACCTAAACTTTATGTCCCGATATACCTTAATTTATTAAACTTTTATTGTAATCGATTATTAAAGGAATTCGTTTCTCAAATTTAAGAACTCTATAGGCACTTTTTATTTACTAGATGTTGACCTTAAGTGCATTTATTTATTTATAAAGTGAAAGGAAAAAAAAAGAGAATAAAAGTAGGACTTGGAAGAATCAGCCTGTAATGTTGCTGTTATTTTTAATTAAATGAATCCAATTTAGTGTAAATTCAAGGGAAAAGGCCAAACACAGAAGACGTTTCCCACCTCTTGAATTTTCAGGGGTCTGCATTTTATGCTTTGTTCATAGATTTGTATTGTTTATAGGTTTTTTGAGATCGATCACTGTTCGTTATCTTCACCTTTTGCATTTACGGGCTATTTGTACGATATGTATTCTTAAAACGTTTTTATTATATGTTATTATAACTGATATCGGAATATATATCTTTATTTCAATTACAAAGTTATGAGGATAATTGAAAGCAATGTATATTCAAATTTTTATTCTTTAAAATACTTTAACAAAAGACATGACATATCATTGTGAAAACTGATATTGAAAGCATTATACAGTATTTGGAAAGTTGCACTTTAAATATTCTATGTTATTAATTTGGAAGGGTGAATATATCACAACAATAAGAATTTAAGAAAAAAAAAAGAATAAAATATAAGGGTTTGCTATGTTTACATCAAAATATTTTTTTGGAATTTACTATTTAGATTTTTAATAAAGGAGAAGGTGCATCTAAACATTCGTCTTCACTGTTGACACAAATTTCTATGCAGCCGTTCCTAAGATCTAATTTTATTCACTTACCTTTGTATATGTTATACGCGTTTTGCTGTTCTTTGCATCTGAATGGAAATGACATCCCATCATATATTGGCTGGCCTTGTGCAGTGTTGAAAAAATATATAGCAATGGTTATCAGAAACATCTTTTTGAGAGACCTAAAATTGAAAATGAAACGTATTATTTTCCGCCTTGGGAGCTAATTAAAGAAAAAAAGAGCCTCATCAATTATCGTCAGAAACCTTGAATTTTTTTTTTTGGTTAATAAAGTATGCATTTAAAACATATAAGAAATTGTCTTCAGATTATATAAACGTACGAGGGTTGTTAAAAAGTTCGCGGACAAGTTGTATAGTGAGCGCACTATTTGCATGAAACCAGTAATACTCTGCAGATAATAACTATACGTATTTTCCGATAAATATGCAAAAATTTTGTGTTTTCCGATGATCTTTGAAAATTATACAGGTATATTATTTAGATAAAGCATGCTTCACTTTTTTGCACATTTAAATTGCATAGAAATTTTTGCGAAATAAAAAATTGCAATGTAGTAGCGCATTAGTATTTGTGAAATATCACCTGTGGCTACAATTTTTATGAAACGTCATTTGGCGAAATTTTGAATTGAATTGGAGGGGATTTCACTGTCTTATCGTTAGGTATAGATGATCAATGCGTAAAAAGAAGTCAAAAATGGCAACGTCATTCAACGTCTTGGAGCACACGAGCTAATAAGAAATTGTGACAACAGACAGGAAAATGTCCGAAAGAGACTAAAATGTTTTTGGATGCTGCTGGGGGTCTCCTACACGTATCTAAGATCAAAGTGTTCCGATTGTAGTGGCTTTATAAAAATGGAATGATTGACTTTTTTGATGATCAACTCCTGTGATGCCCCAATACTATGCTTATCGCATGGACGTTGCGCTTATGGATTTTGCATTGTTTCCAAACCTGATCGCTTAACTAGATAGACATGGATCTTGAGATCTCACTAATATCCGATTCGCCACAAAAAAAACATTTTAGAAAAAAGTAACATGTCTTGTTATAGTTAATAAGCAGTTTCTAAATGGGAAAAAGACAGGAAAAGTCTATAGAACTGAAAGACAGGTTTGGGATCAGGCTGTCACACCACCTTACGTCAATTGATTGCTCCGTGAATCCTCTGACCGCTCAGTAAAAATCATTATTATTATTATTATTTTTTTTTTAATTTCAATGAATGGACATGATTTTTTACATACGTATAAACAAAAAATAGGAATTTAATCAGACATATTTCATACTTCAAAGTACGTAATAAATTTTCCGTAAATCAATGTGTCCGCGAACTTTTCTAACAACCCTCATATAAATGTAGATCTAATAAAATATAGCTAATTACCCTTTCGAAAACACAAGAAAGTCTATAAACTGTCATGTTTTCCTAAAATTAATTATCTTTTTCCCAATTTAGATTTTCTCTCAAAATAAAAGTCCTCTGTGCTAGAAAGAGTGTTTGTTCTGCTTGTTTGTTAAAGACCTCTTTGAGAATTTTTCAATCATACATATGTAGTGAGACGGCGCCACGTGCTGATAGCGGACTGCAAAGTTAGACCTGCGGGCATGTTTATGAAAATTTCCTAAGATGCGTCTAAAGACGTGTCTTAGGATATTTCTTGGGACACATCTTGGGACTATCTAAAGATAAAAAGAAAGTATCTTAGGAATGTCTTAGTTAAGATGTCGTAAATTCCAAAATTCCATCCGAAGGATTTTTCTTTTATATATATATATATATATATATCTATCTATCTATATATATATATATATATATATATATATATATATATATATATATATATATATATATATATATATATATATATATATATATATATATATACAATGTACACACGCAATACGGTTCATTAACATGGTTTATGGACAATAGTGCTCCCTTTTGTTTATACCAAATGGTATATAAGTTTTAATTTTTTTCTTCCATAGATTCTCTCTATATTTCCGATAAATGTCATTATTGTACAGTTCTATAATACTGTAATCGTTTAATGTGTGAAATTCTGAGTAAACATGTGCAGCCACAAGGTCATTGGTTTCTCTTCTAATGAGTGAGAGATTTAAGACATGTCTTTCATTATAAAGTCCCACCAGTTTCTCCCACATACACAATCTTATTACACTTTTTATAAAAAACTCCATATACAGCATTGCAAGATTTACAATTAATATAATTTTTGATGTGATAAATATTTCCCTTATTGTCCTCAAACTGGCTTGTTTTAATAATGTATTTGCAAAGAATATATTTCTTAGCACCACACGGCTCGCACAAATTTCCTTTCTTGAAAAATGAATTATTATGTTTTTTATGAACTAAAATGTCTTTTAAATTTTTGTCTCTTCTAAAGGCAACAATGGGTTTGTGTTTTAACGCGTTTTTAAGATGATCAGAATTTTCCAGGATTTGTTGTGAATATTTGGAAGTCCTTTTGAATAGTTAAGTACTAAGGGGGCACGGTCACACTGCTTATTCTTTTTATTATATCTCAAAAGATCCGATCGATCAAGCTTATCCTCTTTAAAAAGTTGTTTTTCCACTGTTTGAATAACCGCGTTTTCTTAAATTCGTTTTCACTTTTTCCCGTTGATGCCGATATCCATTCTCTTTTGAGCATATTCGACGTGCTCGTAGGCCAAGGCCAAACGGAATTTAGATTCGGGATGGCTGGATGTTTTGTTGAGATACATATTCAAACAACGAAGTGGAAAAACAACTTTTAAAAGTGGATAAGCTCGATCGATCGTCTTTTGAGTAAAATAACCAACTTAGAAAACAAGGATCCCTGATAAAAGGACAAAGGAAGTCATAAAAGTATGTATTATGTAAGGGCAAGCTACCCCCCCCCCCCCCCTTCCCAATTTATCAGGTTTGTAGAGGCTTCCTTTTTTGTCCTTGTATGTCAAAAATTTCTAAAGCATACTTTTTAAGTGGATGTGCCCCCCCCCCCTTCCTCCCGGTTGTAAAAAATGTCTGGATGCACGCATGATATGTATCAATTATTAAAGAAAATGTTTCAACCATTTGACTTGAATTGGGCTTTTTCATTAATTTAATTCTAACCTTATTTTTATCCAAGTTTCATGTATTTAGCTGTAATGTTTGTTCATATATATAATAGAGATATTTGTCTATAATCTCGCAAGAAATAAACAAAAAGGGAAACTATATACATTATTGTAATTATGCATGTACGTGTAGGTATACATGTATGTATTACTGGATAAGTAAATTGGAAAAAGAAGTTTTGAAAGAGGAATACGTAACACTACAACTGTTCTCTTTGAATAAACAGTTAACCTATATCATTGTAATATTTATAATCCAAATATAGGAACTGAGAAAAATAGCTAAACATGTTTCCGAAATATATTATTTCTTGATTGCTCTCTCTCTCTCTCTCTCTCTCTCTCTCTCTCTCTCTCTCTCGCTTGGAAGGGAAGAGTAGTATCCCCGCCTATATAGTCACGCTAGGAGTGGGTAGGGTGTCTAGGGGTCGACTCCTTTCTTTTTATTTAAAAGTATATGAAAGGGACTACATAATCCCTACCCCCAATGAAAAAAGTAAAAAAAAAATGATATTTTTATTTCAAAAGGGTTTGAATAAACTGCTTCAGAACGTTTTAAACCGCTACACGTATGATACATGTTTATCAATTAGTGAATAAATTTATCAATTATTTGCGTTCTTTATTTCCTTTGTACAAATAGATGTATACATACACAGTGCCACAGCATAATATCTACGAAATTGATTTAATTCATTAAAGTAATTAATATTTTACAACAATTAATGAATGAAATTACACAATGTAAATTCGATAATCCTTCCTGTTTTCCTGGCATCAGGGCTTCCTAAATCACCTATTTAAGAATCTAAGTTGCGTTTTAGGATAAGCTCGTCGTCGTCTTTAAGTTAAAAAAAAAAGATAAAGAGGTCTCCTAAGATAGGATAGCTACATTGGCCTCAATTAAGACTAAGATGCTGTAAGTTCGTCCAAAGATATATCTTAGACCATGAGATAGCTTCATTAGCATACCTGCTGTACTCGGCACTTAGGGCCTTTGTATAGTGAGGGATCTTTGTCGTATCAGCACCTACTGTGAGACGGGACGTCGGTTTATGCGGTATGATCGACGTCCCACAGTGGGATTCGAACCTGCGACGTTAGGATCAACTCCTGACTCCGCAAATCTAGAGGAAATGTTCCTTATACTACCAACAATAATCAAGCTTTGTCAGCTGATACATCTTTGGTAGAAGATGTATTGTACATTACAACTTAGGTCACTGACCTTTAAGATGATGTGGTCAATTTTGGCAAAACCCTGTCTGTCTCATGACTGGAAAACTACCTTAGACTAAGAATCTTCAAACTTGGTCAATTAATGCATCTTAGGGAGAGGATGTGTTGCTCCCTATGTTAAGATCACTGTGACCTTTAATTAAGGCGATGTCTTAAAAACAACTGTTTGTTTTAATGGAGATCCATTTCAAATTTTAAAAAATTGATTTGGTAAAGGATTATCTAAATTAATTTGATATTTTATAATATAATATTTTAATTTTTAATTTTCAACAACTGTATAAAACTGTTCTAAAATGAGTAAATACATCGATCCACGAGCTTGAACTGTTTGTTACCTAAAGGGAATGCCCAATGTCGAAGAAATGATTATGATAAAATTTCAATTTTATGTTGATACAAAAAAATTAAATCGGCTGCAATTTTTCTTAAAGAGTTGTATTTAGACAATAGAGCATTTTTATTAAAAAGATTAAAAAAAAAAAAGAATTCAAGAAATATCGTACTCACATTAAAAGTACTGTAGCTATAAAAACAAAATTTCCTGTAAAAGTTATGGGAAATGAAATAAAGTTACTATTTGTGGTATGTTCTTTAGCCCTATTGAAATACTTCCTGTTTATCATTGTTTCAGGAAGCAGAGTCATCTGAGAGAAAATTATGACAGACCCTGTGGTTTTTCAAATTAAACTCAACAACGTATAACACTTTTTTATGGACTCACACATAGTTCCTGTATGCTCGGAAACTCAGGAAGACAATGAAAAAGACAGATATTATACTTGTATCGTGCATGTTTTATTTTTCATTTTTGATCTTTCTAGACTGTCAG